GGGGCCCCCCCCCTGTGTTCCCCATCGGCCTCGCGCAGCCTCTGTGCCGGCATCGGGGTACGCACTGGGCTTTGCCCTCCATCCGGCAGGGCTGGTATAGAAGACAGCCTCTCTGGAAAATAAGTTAGGGGAAAAAAAAAGTCTGTGGTCTCTCACTTCTTTATAAAGAAGATCAGAAGTGTATCCAATTTGTCTAGAATCCCCCATCAAGGCCCTCCTTGCAACATACTTGGGTCAAACTGGATAGAAGTGTATTTGACAGCTTTTTGCAGCAAGATGCTTGTTTTGGTCACTTTTCAAAAAGCCTATGTTTACCACAGGACAGCATCAATGATAAGAAAATGCATCCTTTCATTGTTCCAAGGTAGTCACAGTCACCCTGCCTGGATTCAGGTAGGTAACACCCATGTGAAGCATTCCCCCCCCCCACAAAACAACAGTAAAAATACAAGCACTGTGGGTTTCAGTAACTCTGCAGCTAGAAGCTATTTTAAAGTAAATTATGCTTCTGAGCACACCCAAGATGAAGAGCATTCTATAGAAATCATATGCCCTTTGCTGCAGCTTTTCTCATGAAAATTGGTTATCCTTACTCATTCTTGGGCAGCAGGACTGAGAGCCGATTGGAGGAAGACCTTGGGCGCCCAAGAGGCTACTTCATGTCTGTGCTGCCTTGGAGGGGACGAAAAGCAGCCCCAGCTGCCAGGGCTTCTCACCAAATGGACCTGCAAAAGGGCAACACCAAGTGTCACATTTTGACACTGCAGTTTCTGCCATTATGAGCTGGATTTTCCATTTTAAATCTTCACATCCCAATGTTTTCCCCATATTTCACAGTATCTGCTCATTGTTTCCTCACATTCCACCGCTTAATCGATTATCTCCTTCTTCCACTTTCACCTCAGTCTGAACTGAGACAGGAGAGCAGTTGAACCTGGAGCTGCTGAGCAGCTGCCAGATGTAACACTCACCACTTGCAGCGCTCACACAAAGCGGAAACATCTGTTCAAGATATGTGAGCAGAGAGACCGTAAGCCTGTTAGTGCCCTCGCAAAGATGCAATGCTGCAGTGGACTCTTTTCTGATTTACACTGCTAAGTGCAGGGAAATAAGACTTCTTTTATCTCCTCACCACCCTCAACCTTCCTAGTCGTTATTTTTCTGTTTATAGGCTTGCCTTTCCAAAGTCAATACACATTCACTGACCCTGCTGGGTTGTCTTTTTGTGAGCTTTTTGTTAGCTCCATTCATAAAGCAGCAGAGATTTTTCCCTTAGCATCAGTCTTTCAGTGCAGGATTTCACTAAAGGCTAGGATGGCAGAGCAGCTTAAGGCAAAACAGCTAGAAAGAGCACATGTTGAAGCACTGACCTGCAATGCAGTTAGCAACTTTTCCCCAGAAGCATTTTTTAATACCCCAGGGCACACAAATTTGTTGACTATTTGAGTTGTGCTGCCCCGAATTCCTGACATTTCTTAAGCAAACCACAGGACTAGGAACTAAGATTGTCTTCCAACCCTTTTTCTAAGGCTACTGCCTTTGTTTTCTTGAAGAAAGTCAATTAATTTCTTCCCTGCCTCCGTTTTCCTGGTCAGTAAGATTATGTTTAAATCTCAGCTCCCAAAGGAGAAAGGTATTTGCTAATTTTATAATATGCTATCCAAGTGATAAGTGTTAAATAATTGCTCCAAAATTGCTCCACCCAGATTTTATTTCCTATATAATGATCCAATTAGCAGTCATTTAAGGAAAAATTGCTAGGTGTGAATATACTGGCTCACAGAGATTTGCTATTGTTACTAGTAGCATTAGCTGCTTTGGAGAACCAGAATCCAGACTTAACTAGGGCAAGCAGAAGCATGCACAAAATGCGCTGGGTCCAGCCAAGGTAAAGGGTGCTACTCATCCAGCGCTTGGCTGGATGACAGCCTCCATCCATCACCTGCCAGAAGACAAATGCTACTGTCATGCATCCTCCTAAGCTCTATCCATCACTGTTCAGCCGGGGTTGGGTTTTTTTTTTTTTTGGGTGGGTGTTAAAACTCACCTCCCAAGACAGTGAGAGCTATCAAACATGGAATGCCAGAGAGCTGTTTTGACTCAATCCTAATAGAGCCCTATGAATAGTTTTAGTCTCTCGCAACAACTGGTCCTACAGAGCATCCTGAAAGCATCCCCTGCCCTGCGTGGCCTTTCTGAATCTGCCAGGATGTTCTGCAGGGCACAGTTGGCAAGACACCACCTCCTTCCCGAGGCTCCGGCTTCCTTGCCTTGGAAGTGACAGTACCTGGTTTCCAGAAGGTGTTGACTTGGATATTGTCCAGCTAGGGAGGCACAACTAATGACAGCTATAAATATATTTCTGAATCAAGGAAGGGAGGAGTCATTTTGTCATTTCTTCCCCACGCTGGGCAGTGATCTGGAAAATAGCATTCCCCACTTTTGGGGAACCAAAGTGCGTTAGAAAAAGCCCCAGAACAGAGAACATGTCTATGCGAAGGGCTATGTAAATAGACAGCACTCTACTTGTTTTGGCAAATATTACTGCCTCACCATGGCTAAGCCCTCTGCAGGAAATAGGCACCAAATCACTCTGACACGGTAGTGTTCTGAGTCACGCGACTTTGACTGAAAGATTCTTTGAGTTCTATTTGTGTTCCTGTTTCTAATAGCGCTCTCAGTTCCGCAATCTGAAAGGATTAACAGATCCACCGTGTCAGCCTTCGGCACGGGCACAGGGCCGTCTCCTGCCAGGCTTCCAACAAAGTGGCGGGAGGCTTGCAGGAATACCCGACATTTAACAGGTCACTGCACAGACACGTTTCAAGCCAGATGGAGGGCATGGATTTGCAAACGCTGCCCTAAAACATGACCCAGCAGTAGCTTCTTTTTGCTTTGTTCTGATATTCCCTTTCCTTTGCTCTGTTTGAGTGCAGTTCTGCCCTGCAAAACCTGAGCAGTACTCAGTCACTTTCTGTTTACAGATGTGGTTTGCCCTTTGATTCTCCTTTAGACCAGAGCAGTTTAACTGGACAGTGAAATTGGGTTATTTTAGAGAAACGGAAAAGCTACCCAGTTAGTGTCAAACACCCCATTGCTCTGAGTCCTACTTACTAGGTCCTAGTGTGACTTGCCATTGACTGTATTACTGCATTATGTTACATCTCCTGAAAACAGAGAGGAGAGCCCACATCATGCTCTGTGCAGACATGTAGTGAACATAGAGAACAGGCTCGAGTTCTTTGTTTGTCGGTCACTACACAGCAGGCTGGCATATTTAAAGCAGAATTCACCCAGTACAGAAGAAATGCTTTGCATACACAATTGCACAGAGAGAGTGGGGGGAATAAAGAAAGGTTTTATGTACAGCTTTGCCCAGTGTAGCAAAGCAGAACCGGAGAGAGGAGCAGGAAAAGACCAAAGTGCACTCAGCAAAAAACACCCTGTTCCCTTCCTAGTCTGACACTAAGCAGGGCTGACCCTCAAGAGCGATTGCAGGTTAACTCCTGCAGCCACTTCAGAGGGCACAATGACCCTTACCCAGCTGCTACACCAAAAAAGTCCACAGAGAGCCGGGTAAGGCTTGGCCTGCATGGCTTACTAACACTATTAATAACATCTCTCCTTCACACAGCAACTTTTTACCAATACTGGTCCTCCAACTTGCCTTGCAATTTCCTGCCTAATTGCAGTAAGGTCTGGAGGAGGTTCTGCTTTCAGACTTCCATGCCCTATCTTTTGCTTGACTTTATCTACCAAGTCCATTCCCCCAGCCCAAGAGTGGGATACTTAAAAATTTTACTCACCAGGAAAGTTTCAAGAGGAAATGCATGAGGAGTGCTAGGTGTCACAACAGGCTTTTATAGTCTCATTAAGCTCTCCTTAATGAGAACTTCCTCACCTGCTTCAATCTCTGTCCCTTTCATGTGCCCCCGCTTCCGTGCTGCTCACACTTTCAAGGCTGTCTCAGCTCCCACTCTTGTTCTGAGCCCTCATTCTATTTCCGTGCTCTCCTCCAGATCCTAAGGAGAAAGTACCTTCTCCTCTTGAGCTACTGCTTGCCGTGTCCTCCTTGGCTGTTTCCTCACCAATATCTCTGCAGCTTCTCCCAGCTCCAGAGTCGTCTGCTGTACTTTCCCTTTCAAAGCAAGGCAGCAACAGCTTTTGTTGAGGTCCCTGACTTAAGTGCTCTCCAAAACAAACCTCCATGGATTTCACTGTAGAACCGCCAGGCACAGCAATGACCCACTGCTATCAAGGACCTACTGCATGCCACAATGTGCCCCAGGCTTAAACTCCTTGAGATTCTTGTTACATCCTTGTCTAAGATCCTATAATTACAGAAACAGCTGTGTCACAAGACCCAGTTACATCATGGTTATTCCTCATTATGATCAAAAAATCATGCTTATTTTCTCTTTTACTAAAGATCTAAGAACATCCTTACCATCATGCTAGACTCTACTCCAGCCAAAACTGTAGCACTGGTCAGGTGTCACTTAGGACTGTGATTGAATCAGGACAGGATACAACCACGCTGTACCTGGATTCTGCCAATGAACTTTCGCTTTTCTGCGAAAGCGACAGAGGTCTGTCTTCCCGCACCTGAAATGGCCTAACAGAATTCCTCCCATCGACACCAGCTAATGAAGGACAACCTTTCCTTACTACCTTCCTTGAAGGACAGACAGCTCTGGGCTGCAGCTCCAGGCAGCACCGTTTCTGCACTAAGGTGCCATGCAGGGTTTTCTGCCCGAGGCTCACCATGACAAGGTCTTTGACCAAAAATCACCTGCCAAGTCTTGCTGAGCTCTTCACCAAGACATCTTGGTGATACTGTATTTACCTTGCCCAACACAAAGCATTAATGAGCTCATCAGACTGCTCACCCTGCTTGGCTAATTCATACCAAACACTCTGACTATCAAACCTTGCTTATTCTCTCTGCTCTCTGCTAAGGCTCTCCCCTTGCATAGCCTGAACCAGCGTGCCCTCGAATGGTTCTGCACACCCCAGCCCTCCGCTTGTATAAACTGGCTGTCCACTCCTACGCGCAACCAGGGAACGGCCTCTCGGCGGGACCAATCGGGGCATCATGCTGGTCGGGGCAGGGGATTGGACTTGTTTCCCAATGACTGCAAACACCCTGGAGTTCAGACTGTTCCAGCAGTCCAGCACCACCCCTCCGATCGCATCTGCAGGAACCTTGAAAACAAAGCTGCGTCAGAGAGGGGCAGAGCTGCCAGAGAGGCAGGCAACCTTTTTTGGAATATTTGCATGCCTTTGGAAAACATTTTCTGCTTTTTCTTTTTCATTCAAGCTTTTCTGGGGAAGCACATTACAAACATGAATACCAGAGAGAATGAATTGCCTGCCTTCTGGTTAGGAACAAGGGACATTGTGATAATGAGATAGTCTGAGCATGAGGGAACTCAGCACAATGGGAGATTTATCTTGGAACCAGTCCCTTGGCAGCCTAAACCCAAATACTGATGTCAGCACAGTTTCTCATTGCATAAAGACTAAGGATCAGACTCTGGATGACAGAACCATTTCTATCTCAAGTATGTCCTGTAACACAGCAGTGGCCATTGGTTACCCTCGATAAAATATTCATTTCCCTTTTTCTTCCTCTTTTTTTATTTTGGCAAGTGTTCTCATGAATGGCTGTTTCAAAGCTTTCTAAGTCCCTTCCCTACCATACAAGGAGACATTCAGTTTTGTGAAGACACTCTATTTTGTTTAGCAGTAATAATATGCCACTTAGAGTAAGAGAAGAAAGTTTGGTCTCTGCCCTGAAACTCAATGGGGTTAGCCCCTGAAACAGAGCTGCTGTGCAAAAGATGGTCATGGGGCTTGGCTGTGATCCCTGGGAGATGTTCGCTGCAGGTTAGTTACCTGCTCTATTCCAGATGAGATGTATATGAGTAAAAGAAACACCTTGCCCTGAGACTGGTATCCCTCATTTCTTGGCCTGCAACGTCCCAGGTACTTGCTACCACCGAGCCAAGGAGCAATGCAGGGACTCCCTGCAGAACAGTCCGAGGAGCTCAGCACCCTGCAAACAGTGAACAGGAATACCTTTTGCACAGATATGCCATGGAGCTTGATTCATGAGCGTCAGCCTGCGGCTTGGAGAAATGCTGCTGTGTTATGCGCAGTCATACCTGCTCAGCCTGCCAGCACCCCTGGGGCTTTCTAAAATCAGTGTTATCCCACCTGTCCAGCCATGGACACCGACACGAGGGACACTTGTGTTCACTGCTGCCGAGTTACTCACCTTAGACCACACGGACACTCTCTGTTTCATTTAAATCTTGTTGTCCCATGGGAACCCCATTCCCACTGTGGATGCTCAAATGACCTAGGAAATTGCTTTCTTTCCTGCCTCAGACTGGGTCAATGCTTAAAGCCCTTGTCTTCAAGGGTCCCAGAGTGATGAGAGAAGCAGGGTAGGAGGCCAAGGCTTGAGTCCAGAGGTCTCAGAGACCCTTGCCACAAGGAATTACATGCTGTGCAAACAGATGAGGAAAACCAGAGAGAGCAAATGCCGGTGTGCACAACCTTGACACCACAATCAATGCGGTAGTTTACCACCAGGGACAAGTAAATAGCCTCAGAGTTGCAGGCTGCATAGCAAACATTGCAGTTTTATCTGGATGACAGGCGGCAATTTGTGGCAAAGGGTAAATCTCTCAGTTCACTCATGCTTGACATATGGATGGTCTTGTTACATTCCCTGATCTCAGCAGGATTGTTCTTGAATTAAAGGTTAAGTACGTACACGCCTGTAGGATCACGACCTTCATTTGATATTGCACTGCCCAGCAGATCCATAATCAATCCCTAACTTGCATGAATGACAGCTCCCGGTCAGTAACGTCAGCCACGCAGAATAGTGAGGTATGCCTAACTTCATACATTTAGGCTGGAAGTCAGAGATTTTAGGGCAGATCAGAGCAACGAGGTTCCAGAGCAGCCTTCTACCTGGATGAATGGGACAGACAGCAGCTTGTGCCACTTTACAGGGAGATCGGCCGGGCCGGGAGAGGGCTCTACGATACAGTCACCTGCTCATTCAGCCACTCTAGGACAGGGTGGGAATGACAGCACTTCAACACCACAGTCCCCTTTTACATGACCAAAATTTTCTACTGTAAAAATTAAAGCAGTTCAAAGCCTGACCAAGCCTGCAGAGAAAACCACCACCTTCTTTGCCCTAAGCAGTTTGCCAATGCAAAGCTCGGACAGATCCAAGCCAGACACATTTTCTCTTCTCTCCTCTCCTCACCACTGGTTTTAGAACATACCAAAGGGGCTGCCAGGATGGCGATCCGGCAGTCAGATCCACCTGGACAGAGTCCCCCAAACAAATTCCCACATCGAGGTCAAGTCCTGTCTACTTCAGTCATGGGAGAGTTTTGCTGCTGTTGCTAGCGGTTATTCACGCTATTCACGCTCATTCTGGGTATTCATGGTTTTTATCTAGTTGCTCTATTACCGAAGACAAGCATGCTCAGTCAGGTTGGATCACTAAGTGTTTTATCACACAGGCAACACAACAGCTCACAGGCTGGGTACATCTAAATAAGTTTAATAGGGTTTAATATTCATTCACTAGCAGTACCAAATGTCAAATCTCAGCTGTTTAAGGGCCAGAAACATGTCAAATAACAAACACAAACACAGACAGCCATTGCTCAGAAATAGCTTTGTTGTACATCCAACCCGAGTAACTGGAACACAACCAATAATCTGGCCTGCCACACATCTGGGGAGAGAAAAGATGAATGTTTTACTAGATCGTTCTGACCCTGCAAAAATACACATAGCCATTTAATTTAACCCTATTTATTTAAAAGCCACACTTGTGAGAGCGAAGTTTTCCGGACGGTACACCCACTGCAGCTGGCGGAAGCCTCTCCGATTAGCAGACTTTGCTCAGGGCTGTGTTTGTCCCACGAGCAGGATGCAGCGGGGATGTCTCCCTGCCGCCGCGTGGACGCTGACGCTGGCAGCTTGAACGCGAGGTCCCACGGAGGCTGCTGGCAGCCGAACTAATTTGCTCAGAAACATGAGGAAATCTCTGCATGGTGATGCCTTGCCCCGTTTAGCCATACACACTATGAGCAGGCTGGATCCCATTGCATGCACAACCTACTTTTTTTTAATTTAATAATTTTCTCCTTAAGCTGTAGCGGCCTGTGCGCTGGACTGGTGTGATACTTTGCATGGAAAAGGATCTTTGCATTTTCTTTACTAATTTATTTATAAGAGACTTATGGAATAGCTCTTCCCTCCCTCCTCTTCTCCTCCGGAAAGCAGAGGGGCTGGCGCAGCTGCACACTGCTGCCGCAGCCGGACCCGATTGGAAAAGCCCGCCTGCCGCAAAAGTTTGGCAGCTGCAGGGAACAACCTCTCCCAGCGGCTCGCTGCGAGCAGCTGCACTGCAGTCAGAGGAACCCAACAGAGATGTCAACGGGATTTGGGCTTGCCCGCGTCCCTCTGGCACGTACGAGGCGACCCTGGGCTCAGCTAGGCAGAGGCTGGTTTCTTGCGGGCGGCAGTGGGGAGAACATCCCTCCTTGGGAGCCTCAGCAGAAGGGGAAAATAAAGGGAGCTTGGTCAACGGCTTCACAAACTCGGTGCACAGAAAAGATCACCTATTAACAACTGCAAGTTGTAACGGATCAGCAGCGCTGAAGCAGCCAGGTCTGAACAACCACCTCCCTGCCGATGGTTGCCCTCTCAGCACAGCCAGCCGGGGGGGGGGGGGAGTCAGAAACACAGTGACAGACAGCTGGCAAGGCAGGGCAAAGCCCCTGTGGGCTTTACACACAGCAGACGGGCACAATGGACACGAAATACTCTGAACTACGCTCAGTGCTAAGGAACCCAGCTGACAAACGAGCACAAGTGGCAGAAAAGTCACACTGGTCTGTATACAAAGGAGGTGTCGCATAGGTATGATGGACCACAAAGGATGGAGAAGTGAAATGGGCAGCAAAGGAAGGGGCATACGGAACAAAATGCTGCTACTTTGACTTTCCCACCCTGCTGCAACTCCAACCAGTTGTTTCATTTCTTTAGTATATTAAGTCATGGCAGATTTGAGATACCTCCAAAATGTCAAATCACACTTCCGTCTGGCAATTATAGCTCTGAAATGAAGGGAAACAGCAGAGAAGAGAACTGCCCCTCTCCAACGGAGCCGGCAACGCAGCACAAAGCGCTCAAGCCCTCGGGACCTCCACTTCCGAAGCGGACCTGGACTTCCGCCTGCTGGCCAGGATGGACTCCTCGCTGAAGGCCCCTTCAAAGGCTGACAGGATGGACTGGCGAAACTTCTCCTTGAAATCCGGCCCCACAAATACATACAGGATGGGGTTGATGCAGCTATTGAAGAAAGCAAGGCTAGAAACCAGGGGGATCCCTATGTAAAGAGCCATTTTCATCTCATGACTGGAAGAGTTTTTGGATATTTCCAGCAAGGAGAAGACGTGGTAGGGAAAATAACAGAGGAAAAAGGAGACTGTGACAGCAATGATAATTCTGTATGGCTTTGCAGAGTTGGCTAACTGCCTCCTTTTCAGCTTGACAGCAACAATGCTGTAGCAGATGAGAATCACCGTGAAAGGGATGAGGAACCCGCATAAGAATCGCGTTACAATCATCGCTTTAAGCCGCATCCTCCACAGCCTCCGCGTTGCCTCAGACGTGTAGTCGTCGGACAGCGCAAAATTGTTGTAGCAGCTGGTGATGTTCTTGGAGCTGACCGCAGTGTCCCGAAAGACGAGGTACGGGGAGCTGAGGAGGAGAGCCAGGACCCACGTCCCCAGCGCAACCCTGGCTGCCAGCTCCGGGCTCCTGCGGTTGTGAGACCACACGGGAAAGGCCACAGAAACGCAGCGGTCCATGCTGATGACCGTCAGGAGGAAGACGCTGGCAAACATGTTGAGGAATGCGATGGTGCTGTTCAGCTTGCACAGGAGCTTCCCGAAGGGCCAGTGGAAACCCAGTGCAGTGTAGGCAATGCTGAGGGGCAGGAAAAAGGTGAAGATGAAGTCAGCGATGGCCAAGTTGAGGAACCATACGGAGTTCACCGTCTTCTTCATCCTGAAGCCTGCAATCCAGATGACAAGGCCATTCCCCGTCACCCCCAGCAAACAGGCGATGCTGTATACCACCATGGAAAGGATATGCATGCTCTTCTGCAGGCTGGAGTAGTGATCGTGGGCAGTGGCGTTCCCAGCCAGCTCGGTGGGAGAACTGGCAGAGAAGGGAGAAGGGGAAGAGGAGAAGTTCTCCATCACCAGCAAGCCAGATTCCTGAAATCATAAAGGCACACACTTCTGTTACCTGCAGCTCCTACAGCTCAGATGAGGTGAAAATCTTTGCTTAACTGCTGTACACAATATGTATACACAATGCCAGACTATATCCACTTTATATACTTAATAACAACCGTCTGCCTATATAATGGCTGAAAGGCTTCAGGCTGGCAGAGGTACAAGGAATTTAAGCCATTTGAACAAGATCCAAGCGAACCTAGACAGAGGGTCTGTGAATCTCTTGGGCTGATCTGATCCTAAATATGCCCTGGAAGTGATGGTATCTGATGAATATCAAAACAACCCAAGGGTAGAGGAGACATCTGAGCAGAAGCTCAGCCACCAAGTGGAAAACTCAGAGTCGTACTGCTACAAGCAAAAATCTGAGGCTCCCTCAAGACAAAGGCAATTCCACATTTAATGAGCAGTCCCCTGGATCCCTGCAAAGCTTATCGCCACCACTGAACACCAGCCTGCTTTCATTGAGAGATGTTTTAAGCCAAGAAATGATAATAAACAATGATTTTTTGCTTGCAACTCCTTTCACCTCATTGCAGCCCAAGGCGCTGCGGTGCAAGGGCTGGCATCACCCAGAGCGGCCTTCCCAGTGCCACATTGCCCTGGGAGCTGGAGAGTCGCCGCACGGCCATGTGACCCTGGCACTGCTCTGCACATCACAGAAACCATCTCAACTGGAGAAACCAACTGAGGTATCGCCATCAGTATCGGTGGTGGCAGAACAACCCTTCCATAAACTGCCTACAAAAGCAATCAGACATGGGCTGACAGCAGAACCAGGGAAACCCAAATCCTGCTGCTGCAAGGAATCGTCTTGGGATGGCCAAGGACAGATTAAGATAGCAAAAAAAATTGGCCAAACTGATAAAGCTTAGGTTACAAGACCATTGCTTCAAGAGATACCTTCTAGGGACGTGTACTCTAATAGGCAGAAAAACACTTAGTATAACTGTCAGCCACATGCCCACGAATCCCCCTCCTGGTAAGCCCCCAGTTTCCCTTGCCCCTCTTGCTCACCCCAGGGCCCCTTATCGCAGGTGCACGAGAGGACTCACCACAGCGCTCTGCTCCTCGCTCTGCCACTGACTGCTGCTCTTGCCTCCTGGCTGCCTCACCGTTAAGACACTGCTCTCTGGAGTGACTCACAGTGCCTAGTTTCATCTTTCCATGCCTTGGGATCATGGGGAATTTGGTAGGATCACTTGTTCCTTAGTCCTTTTCCTCAATTTATAATATAGTGAATTTAACCCCTGAATTTCTGGCTGTTGCATGGCTCAAGTTGGTCAACTGCATTAGCTAACTTGGCTTCAAACCACAGAGAAAACAAGGCCCCTCTCCTGCCTATGCAACTCATCCCTGAGCGGTAGCTTCTTTCCTCTCAAGCACCCAGACACCCCACTGGGCATCCAGGGTTCCCTGCTGCAAAGGGGAAGGAGCAGGCACCAGTCCCCATGGCAGCAGCACCTGGCTCTGTGCATGGCACACTCAGCTAACGGCATCATGCCACGGGGCCTTGCAGGGAGGGGTTTGGCAGGGAGCACCCGGTGGCTGGTGGGGTGGCTGGGAAGCACCCTCTGGCTGGCAGGGCTGCAGCTGATGTGGGGAACACCCTCCATCTGATGGGACAGCTAGGAGCCCCCTCCAGCTTGTGAGGTGGCAAGGAGCACCCTGTGGCTTGTGGAGTGGCAGGGCTCCCTCCAGCTTGCAGAGAGCCCCCTCAGCTTGCAGGGTGGTTGGGAGCGGATGGTTGGATGTATCCTCTATCTGGTTGGGCTCCAGGGTGGCAAGCAACACCCTCCAGCTCATGAGGTGAGGAGCACCTTCTGGCTGGCGTGAAGCACCCTCCGGCTTACAAGGAGGCTAGGAGCACCCTCCAGCTGGTGGGGTGGCAGGGGGCCTCAGAGCACCCCCCAGGTCGTGGGGCAGCTGGGAGCACCCTCCGGCTCACAGGGTGGCAGGGGGGCTCGAAGCACCCCCAGCCCACGGGG